GGCCTACTGGGGGGCCCTGCACAGTTACGCCACGGGCATATTCAAACGAGACCTCGCCATCCCTTGGGGGCTGCGACCTGTGAAACTGTCGCCCCTTTCGAGGCCTGCTGGGGGGCCCAGCGCAGTGACGCCACGGGCAGATTCAAATGGGACCTCGCCACCCCTGGGAGGCTGCGATCTGTGAAACTGTCGCCGCTTTCGAGGCCTGCTGGGGGGCCCAGCACAGTGACGCCACACGCGGACCCAAATTAGACCTCGCCATCCCTGCGGGGCTGCGATCTGTGAAACTGTCGCCACTTTCGAGGCCTGCTGTGATCACCGTTTTCGAAGTGACTAGGAGTGCTCAGGAATTGTAACTCATCAGCTTTATCAAGCCCTTTTCCTGTAGCGAGTGTCCTGCGAGTCTCCCGAATTCCGTCTGCAGACATATGTAACCCTCGCTCCGTCATTGGCCCCTTATAAAGTATCCCAAAGTATTTGCGCACCGCTTTTGCGCAGGGGTTGGGTACGTCGCCAGGGTAAGTTTCCCAACCCTCCTGCGTTGGGTTCTCGTTTGGAATAAAGCACTGCTCGCGCGTCTCCTTCCCGCCCCTCTCTTCCCCCTTGCCTTTCGCCTCGCTCGTCGCTGCGTGCCAGCTGGGGGGCTGCGATCTGTGAAACTGTCGCCACGTTCGAGGCCTGCTGGGGGGCCCAGCACAGTGGGTACTCACGGCAGACTCACATGGGACCTCGCCATCCCTGGGGGGCTGCGATCTGTGAAACTGTCGCCACTTTCGAGGCCTGCTGGGGGGCCCAGCACGGTGGGTACTCACGGCAGACCCAAAGGGGACCTCGCCATCCCTGGGGGGCTGCGATCTGTTAAACAGTCGCCACTTTCGAGGCCCGCTAGGGGGCCCAGCGCAGTGGGTACTCACCGCAGACTCAAATGGGACCTCGCCATCCCTGGGGGGCTGCGATCTGTGAAGCTGTCGCCACTTTCGAGGCCTGCTGGGGGGCCCCGCACAGTGGGTACTCACGGCAGACTCAAATGGGACCTCGCCATCCCTGGGGGGTTGCGATCTGTGAAACTGTCGCCACTTTCGAGGCCTGCTGGGGGGCCCAGCACAGTGGGTACCCACGGCAGACTCAAATGGGACCTCGCCATCCCTGGGGGGCTGCGATCTGTGAAACTGCCGCCACTTTCGAGGCCTGCTGCGGGGCCCAGCACAGTGGGTACTCACGGCAGACTCAAATGGGACCTCGCCATCCCTGGGGGGCTGCGATCTGTGAAACGGTCGCCACTTTCGAGGCCTGCTGAGGGGCCCAGCACAGTGGGTACTCACCGCAGGCTCAAATGGGACCTCGTCATCCCTGGGGGGCTGCGATCTGTGAAATTGTCGCCACTTTCGAGGCCTGCTGGGGGGACCAGCACAGTGGGTACTCACCGCAGACTCAAATGGGACCTCGCCATCCCTGGGGGGCTGCGATCTGTGAAACTGTCGCCACTTTCGATCTGCTGCCCAGCACAGTGGGTACCCACCGCAGACTCAAATGGGACCTCGCCCCCTGGGGGGCTGCGATCTGTGAAACTGTCGCCACTTTCGAGGCCTGCTGGGGGGCCCAGCACAGTGGGTACTCACCGCAGACTCAAATGGGACCTCGCCATCCCTGGGGGGCTGCGATCTGTGAAACTGTCGCCACTTTCGAGGCCTGCTGGGGGGCCCAGCACAGTGGGTACCCACGGCGGATTCAAATGGGACCTCGCCATCCCTGGGGGGCTGCGATCTGTGAAACTGTCGGACTGCTCGCCACCTCGCCATCCCTGCTGCGAGCTCGCGAGGCTGGGGGGGCCAGCACAGTGGGTACTCACCGCAGACTCAAATGGGACCTCGCCATCCCTGGGGGGCTGCGATCTGTGGAACTGTCGCCACTTTCGAGGCTGCTGAGGGGCCCAGCACAGTGGGCGGACTCAAATGGGACCTCGCCACCCCTGGGGGGCTGCGATCTGTGAAACTGTCGCCACGTTCGAGGCCTGCTGGGGGGCCCAGCACAGTGGGTATTCACCGCAGACTCAAATTTGACCTCGCCATCCCTGGGGGGCTGCGATCTGTGGAACTGTCGCCACTTTCGAGGGCTGCTGAGGGGCCCAGCACAGTGGGTACCCACACGCAGATTCCAATTAGACCTCGCCATCCCTGGGGGGCTGCGATCTGTGAAACAGTCGCCACTTTCGAGGCTTGCTGCGGGGCCCAGCACAGTGACGCCACACGCAGATTCAAATTAGACCTCGCCATCCTTGGGGGGTTGCGATCTGTTAAACTGTCGCCACTTTCGAGGCCTGCTTGCGGGGCCCAGCACAGTGACGCCTCCCAAGTAGCTTACACATCAAGTTGATTGTCCACACAAGTTTCGGCCAACTCCTCGTTTCCATCGATACAAATGGGTTGGGTACGTCACAGGGTAAGTGTTGAGTTGTTTCGGTATATGTTTCACGCTTCCTCCCACATCCGCCTGTAGGAGG